TCTAAAACAACAAAACAAAACACAATAGTTATTTCGGAATAAAGAAACGATTTTGACGAGCTCTAGTTGACGCAAACTCATGAATGACAGTTTCAAAGTCTATGCTTTCTAACAAACTTTTTTCAATGCATAGAATAGCTAGACCATTCAACCTTTGTTGAGACATAGAGGACCTCATATAATTTTTTAATAACTTCAATTTTGAGAAGCTTCTCTCGGCCGAAGCTACCGTCACGGGTGTTGTTAATAGGATTCGATAAGCAATTGAAACATTCGGATAACAACCTACATTTTCTACAAACTCAAGCACTTCACTAGGTGTCATTGACACTTGGGATAAACACATTTGCAAAACTTTTAATTCTGAAAAAAAATCATTAAAATCAACATCCGAGACATTATCATGAGAAAATGTTTTGTGAAAATTAATGCAATGCTCTTTTAATTCACTTTCATCAAGTGATTTTAATTTCAATGAATCAAACAAAAATCCAAATACACTTTTAAAAGTCATCATTTGTTCAAATCTATTCTTTACCGAAGAAATTGCCATATCCACAACAACAAGAAAATAATTGACTCTAAAATCATCTTCGACCGATAATGCTTCTTCATCATGATCATTCTCATCAAAGTGTTTTTTTCTAAAGACACGACGCCTACTTGGAAATATAGGATCAACATTCATATCATGAGCAAGACCTTGAGCTACTTTCAAACAAGAACTAAACCCTTCATCTCGATACTTTTCAAAATATAAGATTATACCTTCTAATTGTTTTATAGCACTATCAATGCATATCGATTTGGATTGTAAGCTCTTGCTTACCGTGTTCATGACAAACAAAATTTCATACCAAATAGTCATACCAAGTAAAAACTCATAATTCTCAAGTGAATTTACTAAACTTTCCGTTTCACTTTTTGTTATGGCATCATCACATGATTCATATAGATCGATTAAAGCTAATCTCACTTGAGGAGCTTGAAACCTAATAGCTTTGACACTTTTTATTCGGCTTTCCCATCGAGTATTAGAAAAAGATTTCATAGTTAAGTAAGGAACATGATCAAGCAAAATTTTCCATCTTTTTGTAGAGCTAGAAAATAATACATATATTCGTTGCAATGCTCCAAAAAAAGAAATAGCTTTCACACAAGAATGAGCCATATCACTTACTACAAGATTTAGACTATGACAAGCACAAGGCATATATAATGCTTTTGAGTTAATGTCAAACAATCTCTTTTGAACCCCTTGATGCTTTCCTTTCATATTGGACCCATTATCATAACCTTGACCTCTCACATTTCTAACATCAAGATCTAGAGATTTTAGCGCATCAATTATTCTTTCAAAAATACCTAATCCGGATGTATCATCTATGATAAGAAACTCTAAAAAGTACTCTTCTACTTTGACCTTCTTATCTAAAATCCTTACACATCGTACTATTAAAGTCATTTGTTCTTGGTGGCTTATATCCGGGGTACAATCAAGAATGATAGAAAAATATTTGGCCTCTCTTATGACATTCTTAATAGAAAATTGAACTTTATGAGCCAAAAGAGAGATCAATTCATTTTGAATATTATGACCAAGATAATGATGATGTATTTCACGAGTATGAATGCGCCTTATATGATCTTGCATTATTACATCAAATTCGGCTATGGATTCAATCATACCTAAGAAATTACCATTACTATTTTGGTAAAGTTTCTCATTTGACCCACGAAAAGCTAAATTTTGTTTAGCAAGACACTTCACAACCGCAATAATTCTAATCAAAACAAGCCTCCACCTTTCTTTCTCTTTTATAATTTCTCTTTGTAATTCTTTATCAATAGTTTGACTTTTCTCTAATCTAACTAGCATTTCATTCCAAGTTTTCATGTTAGCCATATGTTTTCCACTTCTCTCATGCTTTTTAAGTCTCTCGCTAAGATGCTTCCAATCATTTAATCCATCATTTGCTAGCACACTTAAGTAACCTAGAGATTTAAACAACTTGCAACAAAAACAATAAACTTTATTAACATGTTTCGAATAAACTAACCATTTTCTATCACAAGTTTCTCCATTACTCAATTTTCTAGAATAATATCGATATGAGAAATGTCTATAATACTTATCAAGAGGAAAAGTCAAATTTAATTCTCTTTTAGGTCCACACGCAACTAACTCATCTCTCGTTTTATTATCAAGATTTTCCCAATATCTAGGATCAAAAGTATCAAAATGAAATCTTTGTTGTTCATGACCATTCAAACTTTCAAGTAAAGATGCATTTGACACATTATCATGCTCACTCAATCTATTAGGATCATTATCGATACTCAAGGAAAAAGTTTCTTGCTCATGAACATTCAAACTTTCAAATGCATTTGGAACATTATTATTGGAACCATCATTTAAATCATTCACGTTTTCAGTTTGTTGAGAAACGGTAGCATTATCACCTAGTTTTTTAATAAATTTATCCATAGCCCCTCTTTGAGATTGAATAAACAATTCATCTCTTTTTCTTTTCTTTAGTTTGTCATTTCCACACAAAACCATGATCAAAAGTATTTTATTAAAAGATAGCACCTGGATTAACAAAGGCGAGGCAGTGAGCGGTGGCAATTTACAATTAACAAGGATTGTTGTCGCCAAAAACCAAGTGGAAGCACCTAGAACAATAAACAATTCATAAAAAACGATTAAAATATATACTAAGTACTAGAAGAAAGACAAAATTTAGATCTAGTCAACGTGTGTTCTTTTTGCTTGTTTTAAACAAAAATCAAACAAAGACAAAATAATTATCTATTATACACAAGGTTTCTTATATCAATTTTGAACTGAATTTTTGTTCATAAATCGAAGACACCCACTAGCTAATACAAAATAAAACAGAAAATCTGAAATTCTGAATTATAAAATTGCAAATCATCCAAAACTTACAATTTACGAAGTTACAATTAGACACACGTTTGTTACAGTTGCAGCCACAAGATGATTGAGCTTCAATTCTGGTTCTTTTCTTGAAGTTAAGAGTCTATTGAGCAAAAAAAAACACAGATTCAGGATTTTTTTTATGACCGTTAGGGTTAGAGGAGAGAGATGAGTAAAGTAAAAAGGCCCTTTTCATCTTCTAATTAATATTTTCTGCTAAAAAAAAAAAAAAAAAAAAAAACTTAAACGTAAAAGGCTTGAAAACTAAAAAAAAATTGGGCCTTTTATTTCTTGGGCCGGTGGCGGTCGCACCTCTGGCCTACCTATGTAAGCCGGGCCTGCTGACTAGATCCCGGTTTATAGTTTAGATACGACAAGTTACTGATGGAGACAGATATATAGTAGGCCTCAAGTCAAGCCTTCTATATTTATTTTCTGGCATAGTATGTACTCTTCTTCTTCTTCTTCACCCTGAATCTTACAAGTTTTTTTTTTGGTGAAAGTGAATCTTTACAAGTTTTCATATTATAACTACTATTTGGTATATATATTGCAAACCTTTCGCATGTATCACTATAATTTGTTTTTTTTTCCTCTTGAAGACTTGAACCATCTGGTGGAGCACCAGAAGACTCATTCACGAACAGCCAAGTAATTTTTTTGATCTCGTTCATAAGTTTTAGGGTAATGGAGTGAAATTAGCTAGAGGAATTTAGTGTAAAGCTCAAACTGCAACCACCAAATGGAGTTGTTTTGGTAGAGCAGAAAAATAAGTTGAAATGTAAGAAAGAGAATTAGTTACAACTGTAAGTTACAAGTAATGACACAATTGTGATGCAGAGGTCAGCCACAACTGACACACTTTATAAGTGCACTCCATTCCAACATGTAGCATTCGAATTGGTTTTGGACCGACAAAATTGGTAACTACAAATAATCCCATAATAATAATAATAAAAGTATGTGAAGGAAAAAGAGTCAAAAGACTAAAAGAAGTCTTAAATGCGAAGTTGATGGAGTTTGGTAGGGCGTGTCTTTAATTTATTGTTTTTACACATATTTTGAAACTTGAAAAGTGCTCCTCTCCTCTATGATTTTTGAGATTTTTACACAAAATGTCATTTTTGCCATACCATTTCTAGTTTTCGCCATTTTCTCAATATTCTTTCAATTTTGCCTTTTTTGCCATTTTTAAAAGAAAAATATTTGGGAATTTTTTTTCATGAAACACGTATTTCATAACAAAAACTATACCCTACAAAAAAAACAAAACCTTATAAACCCAAGTAGAATGTGTTAAATCACGTTTTAAGATATAAGAAAAGGGCAAAAACAAAATTTTTTAAAACAAAGGGCAAAAGTTACAAACACCTCTCAAATAAAGGTCAAATTTCGTAATTAACTCATGGTTTATCCCTACTTGCTAATTATTTAACCCATCCACGTTACCATATCAATATAATGGCAGTCAGTGTATGATTAATTGGCCATCGACATGTATACATATTTCGATCGGAAAAAATGTCAAAAAAAGTTTCACCTTTGAAAGTTGGTTAAGTAAAGCTAGATGGAGATAATATCAAGTGATTTAACGACGTGTCTCAATTGGTTTAGTTAACAAAACTTTGTGATTAAATTGACTAGTCAACAGAAGTTTATGATTTTAAGTTGTTAGCCGAAAGTTGGTGTTTTTTTAACCAACTTTGAAAGATGATACTATTTTTTGATAATATTCCCATAAATTTAAGAGTCAATATATGTTTTACATATAATTAATATATAACTTAAAACATAATAACATTTAGGCAAAACACCATAAAAATTAATATTTCTTATAGAATACTAAAAAGGAAATATAGTTATGCTTTCAAATATTTTATTTTATTGTATTTATAAATATTTGGAAAAAGTATTCTCAATTAAAACATTATTAAGTAGTAAAGTGTGAAGGATAGGCCTCAGCGAAATGGGCCATTGTCTGTGTGTGGGCTATATTAGTCCACCCAAAACTATCTCCTAAAAAAACTACAAGTGGAAATTATTCCTTGTTTAAGAGGCAAACAAAGTGGTAAGGTTGTGGTCACGTTTGTGTGGCCATTAATGCAGTAAAAGCAGAGTATGATGATGGTGGTAGGGAAGAAGAGCAAAGAGGGCGAGAGATATCTTCTTCTTATCCATGGCGGCTATTGCTAGTTTGCAAGCAGTTAATCTCACACTTAGGCGACGTGGCACTCGATGTGGGATTGCGGAGCCGAGCGGAGAGCCAGCTCCAATGGGGCTGAAGACTAGATACGACGATGGGTTGGTGGAGAGAGTGTTCATGGGTCTGTTCGCGAGGAAGATGGACAAGTTCGGGTCGAAGAAGAAGAAGGAAACGAAGGAGAAGGGTTTTTGGGAGTACGATTACGAGAGCTTCGTGGAGGTGTCAAAGAGAGTGATGCAGGGACGGTCCAGAGTGCAGCAGCAAGAGGCCGTGAGGGAGGTTCTTCTCTCTATGCTGCCTCCTGGTGCTCCTCAACAGTTTAGAAAATTGTTCCCACCAACGAAATGGGCTGCAGAGTTCAATGCCGCTCTTACAGTGCCTTTCTTTCACTGGTTGGTTGGTCCTTCTCAGGTCATAGAAGTGGAAGTGAATGGTGTGAAACAGAGAAGTGGAGTTCGTATAAAGAAATGCAGGTAACAGAGTGAATTCATCAAAAATGTCTACTACTAGTTGTCTTGTTCAAAATGTGACAGACTTGCTCCTACTGTTGATTGAAGGTATTTGGAGAACAGTGGGTGTGTAGGAATGTGTGTGAATATGTGCAAGATTCCAACCCAAGATTTCTTCACCAATGAGTTTGGCCTCCCACTCACCATGAACCCAAGTATATATTATATATCTCCTTTTGACCATCTTTATACATATATATATTGGGGTTTGTTTTCATATATAAGCCATCTCTCCATTTTGGTTGCATAGATTTTGAAGACATGAGCTGCGAGATGATATACGGGCAAGCGCCTCCGGCCTTTGAGGAGGATGTAGCCACCAAACAACCTTGTCTAGCAGACATATGTAAGTCTTACAACGCTCAGATTGCATACATGCAGGATGTATCTAACATGATGATGTATTGATGTTGCCTGCAGGTTCTATGTCCACTCCAAGCTCCCCAATCTGCCCTAAACTAGAGGCATGAGTGGATTGGATCAGCAGCCACTTCTTTTATGGGATGTGCAACTTCCAAGAGATATACATACTTTGTTTTTTCCAAACACATACATTTCATACAAAAGACAGTTGTGAAGACGAGTTAGTGTTCTGTGTTACTATTTTCGTTGGGTTGTGTAAAGTATACGATTAATACACTTGAGCTTACTCATCTTCTTTGTGTTCTATGTTTGAACTCGCCATGCTGGTTATAACTTGGATCTCAAGTGTTACTTGCAGTTTGTATTGTAATATAAAACCAAAAAACAGAGATTGGCTTAGTTATAAAGCAACCCTCTCTGATAGAAGAGGTGAGACTGGCCTTTGGCAGCCAACGAAGAGGAGGCTGGAGCCAAGGCACTCAGAAGCAATGGAGTATGTTTTGCTTATATGGCTTACTTTCAAAGATTGTTTAGTTTGTGGTTTGGTGCTTTGATACACACTGAAAGAATTTACTTTGATTTGACTTGCACATATGAAATCTGTTTCTTGTTTTGTTTCCTGCAACTCCAACTGACTAGGGAGTGAACAGAACGGAGTAAATGTTTAGATAGTTGAGAAAATCTTTTCATAGTTTATAAAGAGACATATAGCTAGGAGAGGTGGAACAGATGAGGCATTAATATTGAATGTACGAACACACAAATTGAGAGGTGGTTCATTCAAAGCACAGAGAAGTTGTTGGCCTTTCAAAGATACATTGCCCAACAAACAATCGTCATGAAACTACAACAAACGTCAGTTTCATCTTTCTTTTAACTGCATTTGTTAGTTACCTAAGAGTTAGACGGCATCTGTTTCTGCTACTTTTTCTGTCCTGAGGAAGAATGATTGAAGCTGATAATCATGTGATGACTCACTCTTTCAGCTTTACAACACACTTCCATCTTCTAAAGTGATATATAATAAACCCTTACTTTCTTTCTTTCTTTCTTTTTCCTTTTTTTTTTTGTTTTGTTTTCCTTTTATCTCAATTCATAATAATAGAAAAGGCCAAACAAAAAGATGAAGGATATGAAGATGCAGAGCAGCTCTGAAACGATGATGACCAGAATCCCCACTCCAGATCCTCACAATACCGGTGTACGAGAAGATGCAATGGACACAGTCTGCAAACCCTGGAAGCTTTATGAAAATCCATACTACTGCTCTTCTCTGTCTCAACAGCATCAGCACCAACGCAAGGCATTTATTTGGGATCTAAACTTCATAAAGATCTTCATGGAATCTGAACTAGGAAAAGCTCAAGACGAGATCCAGGAATTGAAGGCAGAACTGGACTATGAGAGGAAAGCTCGAAGGCGCGCAGAGCTGATGAACAAGAGGCTGGCTAAAGATGTGGAGGAGGAGAGAATGGCTAGAGTAGCGGAGGAGATGCAAAACAAGCGGCTCTTCAAAGAGTTATCGTCTGAGAAGTCAGAGATGGTTCGGATGAAACGTGATCTTGAAGAAGAGAGACAGATGCACAGGTTGGCAGAGGTTTTGAGAGAAGAGAGAGTTCAGATGAAGCTGATGGATGCAAGGCTTTTCTTGGAGGAGAAGCTATCTGAATTAGAGGAAGCTAATAGACAAGGAGAGAGGGAGAGGAATAGGATGATGAAACCAAAGATACTGGAGAGAGCCTGTAGCTCACCGGCTAGGAGGAGCTGCGAGAATCCGCAAATAAAGAGAGGAATCAATCCGTTCCCAAGAGTGATGAGAGCAATAAGATCAAAGAGTGAGAAATGGGGTTCAAAGCTGGAGTGCCAAAAGGTTCAGCTAAAAATTCTGCTCAGACAAAAGACCACCCCAAGATGTACTCCTCTTCTCTCCTCTCCTCCTCCTCCTTGATACTGTATGCTTGTTATTTGTCCGTCTCGCACAATCTTAATAATTCACATCTAAGACTGAAGATGTACTAATAAGATTCTAGCTCTTTGTCTGTCCGTTAGATAACATTTTCTTCACATACATAGCATAAATATCTATTAAAGATGGATTGGAAGAAAATGATGATCCCATGCATTATCCAAATTTGTTATGTTGGGCTCAGTATCTTGAGTCCTCTCGGACAAGATCAGACAAATCTAAATAGTTTTCTTCTATCGTTGGTATAATATATTTGATGTTGAAATTCAACTGTGTTCTGAAATGCACCTACTAAATCAAACAAAATCTGGATTACATATTCTCAAATTCGTTAGTTCGTTTATGATGCTATACTTTGAAACTTTTTGTATTTGTTTTGTTATATTATCGGAAAATCATGCTTTTAGTTAGTCAATTTGCACATATTACAACATGTCAATTAGAATATAATTGTTTTCGAGCTTATACTCCCCTTTTTTTTTTCTCGCTTACTTTCTTTTGTTTCAAAATATAGGATGTTTTAGTTTAAAGCACACATTTTAATTTTTTTATAAAATATTATTTAATATTTAGTTTTAAAAATGTCTACCAGGGATATAATAGACTCCAAAAACAAATAGTTATAACATATCTTACATAATATAACAAGGTTTATACAGATATGCAAACTACAGGAGATACTATTTCCGATCTTTTTTTGAAGAATTTGTTTTATAGTTAAAATTATGCTTAATTAATACTTAAAAATGAATATATCTATAGAGAATTGAATCTAGAATATACTTTGAATATGACAATATATTTATTTTTGTTCTATATAGAAAAAGTGAGTGCGTAATTTAGGAATATATATTTATTTACCATTATCATCAAATGTTTTATCTAATAAGAATTTCAAAAAGCAAACGGGGCAATTAGAATGATTATTCAAAAACTTTCTATATACAATTATGTGGAGAGCCAAATTGAATTATCGATTAAATACATTCTTTTTTAATTAGGGTCATTAGTGACTGAAGGCAATTTTCCAAAAAGTATCTCAGCTCTCCAATTTTATTATTTCCACCACCCTCTTTTTGACACAAAAATCTTCCATTTTATTATTCCAACTAGAGATTGACGGGATTTTAAGTTTTCATTAAATTTTTGTAGGTTTTCATTAATTTTAATGTTGGATTTTTAAGCCAGTGTTAAATAGTAGTTTTGTTGATTGTGGATAATTTTGGTGTCTAATAGTAATTTTTATGTTCTATCAGTGTATATATATCTCTCTATATTTCATATTGTGATGATATAATTTTTTTTTTTTTAAATTTATTATTAAAATTCTACTTGCATCAATTTTAGTGATTTATTTTAAAGAAAAAATAGGCTAACCCGTCTCTATACTAAAAAAACATGTAAAATAAAAATTAGAATTGAAAATTATCATTTTCTCTTTACAAATTTATTTAAATTATGATGTGTTAATATTTTACGAAATGCTCAAAAATCTTAAATTTGATGTATACTTGTGTAAACAATTCTTAATTTTTTTATATGCCAACAACTTCAAATGCTATTTTTCCGTAGTATATTTAAATCTTCAATATATTGCTAAAATTTAAAATCAAATTTAAAGAAAAAACTAAAAATTGAAACACTAACTTCAATCCGGCACTCTAAATCTCTAATTGGTCCATTATATAATCGGAGCAAATCGATGACTGCGTCTATCTCCTCGATCATCTCTTCACCTAGCAAAAAACAAAAATAAGTAAAATCAGTACCTTACATAATCTGGAGAAAAGACTCTCTAAATTGAAAAGATGATTTTGATTCAAGAATAATCACCTATCATGGTCACGATCGCGGCTTCGACCATAGTCATCATCATCTCTACTACACCGTTTCCTTTTTTCACTACACTCCGTACTTTGATCTCTACATCTATATCGCTTCTTAGAACATAAAACTTAATTCTTTTATGTCTTTATCAGGGCCATTCTCTCTTTCTTTATCTTTACTTTTTGAAGTCTCTCTTTCATGCTCACATGTTTCTCTGTACACAAATAAAAACACAAAACTCATAAGTTAGTGTTTAAGAATCAATGAAACTAAACGAAAACCATAAACAAAACTAAATCAATGAAACTAAAATGGATTATAGCTAGTAGATAAATGATATGAGAATAACACAATCGAGTACTATATTTATAGTGTTAAGAGAGTCTTCAATGGTTTTATCTTTTATGGTTGATAAATATATATAATCTCACTAATAAATAGTGAAATCAAATCTAAACGATTAATTTTTTTTGTTAAGATCATATTTGGATAATACGTATTTATGTATACTATGAAATCGGTATAAAAATATTTACTAATATCTAATCTCGTTTTTGAAAGTTTTGAAATATATTTTGCTTTATTTTTGGAAATTTGCCGAAACTTATAATAAAATTGAATCTTAAGAATTTCATAAGATTATATATATATACATATATTTTAAATTTATTGTTAAGATTTAAAGAAAATTTTATTAAATTTCGAATAAACATATATTATTAAAATTAATTATATCAGAAATTGAGTTGTTTCGGATTTTTTTGATAAATTGAGTTGAGTTGATTTTAAAATTAGTATTGTTTCCAAATCCTTAACTAAATCAAAGATTTCGGCGTTAACATATTGTAAGTTAATGTTTTTTTTTGTATTTATGGTAAGTATTTAATCTTCCTAAAATTTCGATAACAATTGTTTAAAATCCAGTTAGTGGTTTAGGCAAATAATCAATGACATTAATTTACAATATTTTTAGGCTTGTTAGGAAGACCTGAAATTTAGATCATAATCCATTTGTTTTCTTAATAGATTATTTGAATTGTATATTTCTTATTGTTTAGATTAATTTTTAAATTTTTAATAATACTCAAAACACTAAACGTAAATTCAGTTTTTGAATTTGTTAGCATTTAGTTTTTGAATTGTAGATATACACCATAAAATCCGTAAAATCAGTCAACATTTTCAATTTCCAATTTAAACAAAATCTCTTTAATATCTTTAAATCCGTTTGACCCGTTTTTAATAAATTGGTTAATATTAGTAACATAGAATTAAAATAATTATGATTAGAGATCTCTAATGGCATATATTGTAATTTCTTACAAAATCAACGTTACGACTTATATGATGTACTTCCCAAATAATAGTATATAAAAATATGAGTGAGTATTATGCTAAAGATAAGACGCTTATTTATAGTTCTAGATAGTCGATTATGATATAAGGAGATTTGAAAATATATTAGTTAGTTTGTAAAAGGTATATTCTAGATATATTCTAGATTAGTAGGAATATAGAATCATAACATATATAACAAAGAGATTTGACAATATTTTTAAAGGATTTTTAGGAAACTGACTCAGAGATTTTATCTTGCGTGATTAAGCTATCTAAAATTTTAAATTATAAGAAACAGAAATAACAAACGAAATTAATAATTGATGATAAAAGATTTTAAGGAAAAATAAAATATTCTCAAATAATATAACATTTTCAATTTTCAATAACATTTTCGAATAATAAATTAGTATTGTGGAAGTCGAAACTAACACAATCGAGATTTGTCTAGGGTTTTATTTTAGGGATACGATAATCGTGAATTCTCAAAGAACAACAGAAACGATTTGTAACCAAAGATGGTATTCTTGATATTATTAAGAAAAAGTTGACTTTGATCGTACAAGAGTTTGATCGTAAAAGGAAAAAGATGTTTGTGCTGTGAGAGCTTTGCGTAGTGTAAATTCTAGAGCGATATTGCCTCCCCTTTCCTTTGAGCCTTGAATCTCTTTATATAGGGATGATAAACCGCCTCTCCAGCGATATTCTCGGAAGATTTCCATTTATCTTGAAGTCGGCCAGAATATCGCGGATTAGGACAATTTCCTTATTCTTCGGAGTTTTCGGAAGATTTCCTGATTTGAGTTGATCCTTCGCGATTCTTCCTTATCATTTCCGAGTTTATCGGAAATGATCCTTCTTTTTCGGAAATGATAACTTGCTTGGAAATGATACCTTTAAAGAAGAGTATTTACTAAGTCTTTGCTTCGGGCGATGATGAAGACTTCGCCTCGGGGAACTTGTGCAACCGGCTCGGGGACAAGAGAGGCACGGTCCAGGTTCCCGAGGGAAAGCGGCTCGGGTTTACAGAAAGAGCCAACTCGGGGGTCTTGACACGAACCGGCTCGGTTCCTCGGAGTGAACCGGCTCGGGCACTTGAAGGGAGCCGGCTCGGGTTCACAAGCTTGCTGATGGACCCCGAGCAGACTACGGGTGTTCCCCGAGGCAACCAATGCAGTGACCCGAGGTGAATGGCAGCCTGACCCGAGGTGAATGGCGGTCTGACCCGAGGTGAATGGCAGCCTGACCCGAGGTGAATGGCAGTCTGACCCGAGGTGAATGGCAGCCTGACCCGAGGTGAATGGCAGTTTGCGCCGAGGTGTCTTCAGAAGTTCCCTGAGGCGTTCGAAGTTCGGCTCGGTGCTATGGGATGCAATCCGACCCCAACAGTTAGCCCCCCAGCTCGTTGGTTCGAAGAGCAACCGATGAGCTTCACGACTGTTAGTCCGAGCCGTTTTAACTTTATTCCGAGCCCATCCTTGTATGCCGCGAAATTTTCGATGCTTCAAAGATGGTTAGTATCCTTCGGTGATTCTGATTCTTGACGATTCAAATCTCTTTGACGCTTCATCTTCTTCTAGCGCGTGTGACGGTTGAGATTCTACCTCGAGAAGTGGAAGAGTCCTCTGCTGATTCCCGAGAATCGTGCGGATGCGAAGTATCTTAATATTGGTCACGCGCACCTGACACGCCCGAGACTTGGGCGGATGCGAAAAATTATTAAACTCGTGTACCCGACGCGCCGAAGCGTTCCATAAATATCCGACTCCTGCTTCATTTTCTCATTTCGCAATCTGCAAGGAAAATTTCTAAGGTTCGCTTCTTTTCTCTCTGATCTTGATCTCTTTAATTTCCTCTGCTTTGCTTTATTTTCCGTCGTTCCTCCGCCGTGCCAGATCTTAGATTTGGTTTTTCCGATTTCGAATCTTGTTTTTCCGATTCTTTTTTGATTCACCCGAGCCGAAGATGTCACTCTCTGATTCAAGTGATTCGTCCCGAGGTAGAAACATTCCTGTTCACGAAAGGAAAATGGTCTGGAGCAGTCCCTCGGAGGAAGCCGAGGCTGGTTTTTCAAATTGCTCCGAGCGAAACGGCGATAGTGAATTAAGATCGTCATCCGTGGACCAAGATCCGAACCAATTTGTGGCTCGGGAAGATACAGTTGCGAATGTGGCTCGGGATGAGGATCTCCCCGATGACCCCGAGGCAGCTTTAAATACGGGAAGAACGCATCCTCCGTCTAAGGACGAAGCTGGGGGCTCTCGTTGGCAAAAAGCGCCCGAGCCGTCTTTGCTCCCTGTAAAGGCCGAGGCGATCCACTATGATTCCGACGCGGAGGCGAGAATGCTTCAGGCCAGGATGCAAGCGGCTAAGGCTCTGCAGCAAAAGACGAAACGAGCCAGAAAAGTAAGAAGGCCCGACCCTCCTGGTTCTACGCTATCCACCGAGGACTCCCTCGGAGAGTTGAGAGTTCGGTTCGGTTTTAGTGAAGGAATCACGATGAGGCTCCCGACCCCGAGTGAACGAGCCGATAATCCTCCCGAGGGGTTCTTCACGTTGTACGAGGGGTTTTTCAGTTTTTGTTTCCTGTGGTTCCCTCTCCCGAGGCTGATCGTTGAGTATTTGTGGTCGTACAAGATTGCGTTGGCTCAGATCTCAACTCGTGGACTGCGGCATCTTATTGGGATCTTAGTAAGGAGTTTCGAGGCGGATAAAGTTTTGTCCCTCGGGCATCTAAGGAATTTCCTGGAGGTTCGTCGTAGCCCGGGTCCTCTGGAAAGATACTACATCTCGCCGAGCAAAAATAAAAAGATCATTGGCGGGTTCCCGAGCAAGGACGAGAAATACACCGATCATTTCTTCTTCGTCGCGATTGACGAGGACTCCGTCCCCGAGGGATGCCTCGATAAAATTGTTGCGAAATGGGGCACAATCGGTAGTTTACCCGAAGCGTTTGAGTTTTTCTTTCTTTCGTGATTTGATCGATTTGTTCTGACCAGTTTTGTTTTCGTTTTCAGATCGTAACCCGACGTTCCTCGAGCTTGTTCCCGAAGATCTTTTAGAAACTCACGAGGAGTTGGCTTCCCGGAAGTGTAACTGGACCAAGCATTTTACGCTCAGAAGAGTCGAGAAAGCGCTGAGATTACTCCGAGGCGTGTCCTGTTCATCCTCATCATCCTCTTCGGATCACCGGTTGAGCGGCTATATGGAGATGCAGAAGGCGAAGATGACGCTGAGGGAGAAAAAGGCTGCTGAGAAGGAAGCGGCCGAGCAGAAAAGAGCCCTCGAGGCGGCCTTCAAACCTTTGACCGAGGAGTCTAGAAGGCCCGAGGCGTCCGATCTTCCCGAGGCGTCTGGCAGGCCCGAAGTGGTTAAGAGCCCCGAACGATCCGGGGTTGACCGAACGGTTGCTTCGTTCCTTCCGAAGCGGTCGACGATGTCCCAGCTGGGGACAGTGGAGTTCAAGCTCCCGAGGTCGAACATACCGAGGTTGTGGTTGGCTTGGCTGCTGGTAGACAGGCCAAGTCTAAAGGAAAGCGTCCTCGGGGCGAACACTCTACCGATAGGAGGAAAAGGTCGAAGAGCGACCACGGCAGCTCTCGACCGATTTACAAGGACAAGGTGGCTTCGGCCAACCTTGTTGCTTCGTGTGCATGGCCGTTGTTGACGGCCCCTGAGAATCTGGCCGAGGCGGAGAGATACGCCGAGACTTCGGCCAACTTTCTGAAGGTAATGATTTTTGTTGAACCTCTTGTTTCGGAGTTCTTTTCCGTTCCTAACATGTCATTTTATCCTCAGGCTTTCTCCTCAATGAACACGCTGGTTCGTTCTTACGAATCCATGAACCGTCAGCACGAAGCTGCCAACGAGCAGTTTGAAATAGCCCGTGCAGAATCGGAGAGGAGAATAGCCGAGGCGGCTACAGCGAAAGAAAGTGCGGAGGCCCTTGTCGCAGCTGAGCAAGAGGCGAGGCGGAAAGAGGCCGAGGAGAATGCTCGAATTCGGCAAAAAACCGAAGCAGAGGTTGAGCGTCTCAAACGCCTGCTC